AAAAGGACCAATATTGTATGAGACCAGTATTACAAAAAACCTTTTACTAAAGGTTTACACACAGAAAGCAGCGTTCTTTGATGGTTACCAGGGAAGTGGTTGTTAAGTGCCATTGAGTCAATTCTGACTGTGACCCTGTATAGGGTTTCCGAGGAGCAACTGGTGAGTTTGAACCACCGACCTTGTGGTTGAAACCAACCTTGCAGCCCTGCGCTTATCCTACAGCACCACAGCCGGGCTCCGACAAGACACACGTTAATTTGGGTGAAGAGAACAGTGATACCCAATACGGTATGATTGGCAGAATCTCACTCTGTTAAAGAGACGCACTGACAGACACTTAAGACTGGCAGACAACAAAGGTAAACATGATTGCATGCACATTTGTTTTAATTTCACCACAAATGTCTTTCATTCAAGAATCAAGGCTGGAGCCGAAACTCTGGGTTTAGCAATGTAATGATCATTGTGGGGTTAGCCTATGAACTTAAATGCCCTTTATTCATTTATTCCTATGTGAAACAACTATCAAACAAATGACATGATAAAAAATTTTTTTTTTTTTTTACAAAAGCCATGTACGAGTGGGGACCCTCGGAATTTAGAAATTCACAGGCTCCCGTTTTCTGATTTTGATATTTGCAGTTCAAATCCACCAGCCACTCCTTGGAAACCCTATACAGGGTCGCTATGAGTCAGAACCAACTCGATGGCACTTAACAATAACAACAACAATTTGTTTCTGATTATGACAACGGGGGGTGGGATTCTCCTAGCCCCTAGTGTGTAGAAGCTAAGGAATGCAGCTAAACATACCACCAATCACAGGAAAGCCCCCACCACTACCACAAAGTATGTTCTGGTCCAAAATGTCAATAGTGCCAAAGCTGAGAAACTCTGGCATACATGAGGACATACAGTTGGATATGGTGGTGGTTGTGTGCCATTGCGTTAGTTCCAACTCCTAGCCATCCTGTGTAGGGTTTCCAAGGCTGGAAAGCTTTATGAGAACAGAAGCCTCATCTTACTCCTGTGGAACAGCTGGTGGACTCGAACTGCTGACTTTGTGGTTAGCAGCTGACCCACTGCACCACCAGGGTTCCTTACATTTGGATATAGAGTGATGTTTCAGTAAAATTAGGAAGCTTTCTGTAGTCTGAGTTTTCTCATACTAACACCCTGGGCATCTTTCCAGATCCATTAATATTTGCGGTTTCCACTTTAAAACACCATTTTCCACGAGCATTTAGAAGGTGTCCTTATGGCGTAGTGGGTTAAACATTGGGCTGATACCCAAAAGGTTGGTGGTTTGAACCCACCAGTTGCTTCACAGAAGACAGTTGAATGAGTGCACCCCTGTAAAGATTTACAGCCTCGGAAACCCAGTGGGGCAGATCTACTCTCTCCTATAGGGTCTCTGAGTCAGAATCAACTGGAGGGCTGTGGGTTTTGTATTTTCTTTTGTTTCTTAACTTTAAGCAAACACATTTATTTTCTCACCATGGAGGAGGCTTGAAGTCTAAATTCAGGGTACCAGGGCTTTCTGTTGGCTCACAGGATAGGTGGGAGGCCCTTATTTCAGCAGCTGTGGGCCCAGCATCCCTGGGAGAGAGCTCCGTGGTACTTGGCATCAGTCTTCCCCTGGAGCTAGGAGGTTCTCATCGCAGGGACCCTGGGTCCACAGAACATGCTGTCCCCTGCACTGCTTCCTTTCTTGTTTAAAACTTTTGTTGTGAATTGGGCTTTTAAAAGTCTGTAGATCAGATCGTCCGTTTTCCATTCAACAATTCAGCATACACATTTTGTTTCATCTCATGGATTGCGATTTCCTCAGTGAAATCACTTACCCCCTCTCTCCCTGTTTGTTTTTATAAATCAGGATTTTATCTATTTTATTTAACTAACCTCCAGTGTTGGGCATTCAGTTGTCTCCTGTTTGTTGTTGTCATTGTTGTTAACAGACGGTATTGTGATGAAGACGTTTGGCCTACTTCTTTGTGCTCTGGTCTCATTATGTTCTCGGGAGGAATCCTGAAATGAAACAACTCACCCAAAGGGTTCACAGGCTGGAATCAGCATCTACTTACACCAGCAGGACCTGAGCCTGCCTGACTGCCTACAACTCCCCCCGAGACTGGGGTTTCTTATTTTCTAAACCCTCCTTGTCCTGTGATATCCTGATCCAGGCCCAGCCCAGTGCTGTGTGGGGGTGTGTGACTGGGCTGTGTTGAGGTCCTGGCACCTCCTCGGCTGGGGACTGGGCATCCACTGGGACAGAATCCCTGTTAAAGACCCGTGACCAGGGCTCTTACTGTCTTTGCAGGATGCAGACACATCAGCCAGGCTTCAGCCAAAGTCGATGTGGAGTTGGATTACGATAGGCCTCTGATGAAGACAGAAGTCCCGGGGCCTCGCTCTCGGGTGAGTTGCACGCACCTGCATGGTTCCCCTGGAGAATCTCCCAGGTCTAGGAGGAAAGAGTGCGGATGAGCTATGGGGACCCATGCCACTAGGGGCTCTCACAGAGCTCACCACCCAAGACATGGGACATTGAGCTTTTGTTTAAATCAGGATTTTACCTGTTGTATTTACCCTCCAGTGTTGGATATTCAGTTGTCTCCTCCTTGCTGTTGTTATTGTTAGCAGACAGTAATGTGATGAAGATGCTTGGTCCCTTCTTTGTGAGCGCTCTAGAGCTGCAGCTCGACTCTTGGAGCCTCCGTTTCCCCAGCTACGGCATGGGCACAGGATAGTTGAGGATTAAGACCATGTGCACAAAGACCTCTGCATGGTGTCATAGCCAACTCATAGCACCCCTGTAGGACACGTACAGCTGCTCCTTAGGGTTTCCAAGGAGCAGACTGCCTCATCTGGCTCCTGCAGAGTGGCTGGTGCATTCAAAATCCTCCCTTTTCTGGTTAACTGCTGAGGGCTATGCCAGCAGGCAAACTCAAGCCACCCACGTCGAATCAATTCTGATTCAGAATCTCTCAACGACTGCCTCATAGGGTTTCCAAGGCTGTAAATCTGTAGGGAAGCCAACTGCCTCATCTTTCTCCTACAGAGCAGTGGGTGGGTACGAACCCCTGACCTTCTGGTTTACAGCCCAGCACTTAATCCGCTGTGCCACAGGGCTCCTAGATGCCAAACAGGGCTCCAGAAACAGGTCCTTCCTGTTCTCATGAAATCTAGGCAGACTTGACTGCACAATGAGTAATAAGTCTTCTCATGGAAGAACCACAAATAGCGTATGTTATTGTTGTTGTTGTTACGTGTTGTCAAGTCAGAGCTGACTCGGAGCGACTGGTGGGTTTGAACCACTGACCTTGCAGGACCTTGCATTCAGCAGTGCAGTGCTTATACCACAGCGCCACCATACTCGTATTTGGTCCTGTTTTTGTTTTTCCTTTTCTCACTTGACCTCATTTCTTTTTCTCTGTTTTGAAATCACTCGCTAGCATAGCTCTCTCTTTCTCATTATCTATCTCTCTCTCTCTTTCATTTTCTCTCTCTATTTCTCATTCAAAGTCTTTCCTTCTTTGCTATGGAAATGGCCAGAGATGGGAAATAAGTTTTAACTACCCTCCACCCCCAACCATTGTTGTTGTTGTTAAGTACCATGGAGTCGGTTCCGACTCATAGTGACCCTGCACAAGGTTTCCGAGGCTGTAAATCTTTATGGGAGCAGAAAGCCTCATCTTTCTCCAACGGAACAGCTGGTAGTTTCGAACTGCTGACCTTGCAGTTCGCAACCCGATTCATAACCACTATGCTACGAGAGCTCCTTAGCCCCACCCATGTTGTTGTTACGTGCCGTCGAGTCGGTTCCGACCCATAGCGACCCTGTACAGGGTTTCCGAGGGTGTAAATCCTTACGGGAGTAGAAAGCCTCATCTTTCTCCCGCGGAGCAGCTGGTAGTTTCGAACCGCTGACCTTAAGGTTCGCAGCCCGATTCGTAACCACTACGCTAATTAGTAGTGATATCAAAAGCTCTGTGTTGAGAAAGATTCTGAAGGTGCATATTCTTGACTCTGCAGAAAACACTTCAGCGATCTGTTAACATTGTCTGACATGGATTTGGAAGGGAAAAGTGCCCTTGTGTCCACATGCAAACTAGATATTTGTTATCCCCAGATAACCAAAGGAATCAAGGCTATTGATCAAGTTATAATGCCTCCAAAGGGTACTCCAAGGAACCCTGGCAGTGTGTAGTGGATTAAGCTGGGCTGCTAACTGCAAGGTCAGCAGTTCGAATCTACCAGTTGCTCTACAAGAAAAAGATAAAGGCTTTCTGCTCCTGCAAAGATTTAAAAAGTGTCAGAAACCCTTTACAGGGTCGCTGTGTGTCAGAATCGACTTGATGGCACACCATGACCACCAACCGATACTCCAGTTTTTTCCATGTTCTCTGCCACACCTCCTAACACCGTATCTTCCTGACTGGGCTGCTACTCCTGTTTCCCTAAACCTCTCTGTCTCTATAGTCAGGCAGGGAGGCAGAGGGGAAAGTAGCTCGCAGTCTGTTGGCAAGAGAGAAATGGGAGTCTTCACATCAAATGGGCAAAGCTAGAACAGCAGTGTGAGCAGAGTGAGGTGGAATGAGAATGCGTTCTTCACAGAGGAGGTGTGTCAGCTAGCTGTTGTCACGACCATGCCGTACAAGCAACCACAAACTGAACAGTATACTGCATGCGTGCGTCTAGGGTTGACTGGGGTAGGTGGGCAATTCTGGTCTCCTCATCTGAGCTAGGATCGTCTGGCTGACTGGGGGTGGGGTAGGCTATGTCCCATGGGTCTTTCATCCTCCCCCAAGCAGGGCTTGTTGTCATGGGGATGGCAATGGCACAAAGAAGCACGAAGAAAGCCAAAGGTCCAGCATAGATCAGATCACTTCTCCCTGGTTCTGTTGGTCAGAGCAATTCACAAGGCTGAGCTCAGAGTGGACGGGTAGGGCAGGCATCCCACCAGAGGCGGGAGAGCAGGGCAGCGTTACATGACCAATGGGTGCACTCCGGGTGAATGGAGAATGAGGATCCATTTTACTTGGGGTGAATGGAGAATGAGGAGGAAAGTAAGAAAATGGAGTTGTAGAGCATTACCATTTCCAGTAGCATCAGAAATGCAAAACACCCTTGAGGATGAGTGGGAAGACTGAGAAGGAGGCATTCAACTGTGGGGACCATTTGGTACTAGGCACGGGAGATGGCTTGTGGAGAAGCAGACAGGGTGATGGTACAATGCCTACATGAAAGGCACTGGGTAGTGGGGTGTGACTTGGGAGAAGCCAGGTGAGACCGACAAGGGAGGTGGGGACCAGGTTATGAAGGGCCTTCACCCCAGGCTTGGGAAGGTCTACCCAGTTTTAAGCTACTTTGTTTTGTTCTTCTCACTTGCAGGAATTAATGAAGCAGCTGAATATGATCCAGGTAAGTGGGGATAAAGGGGCATTCGTTTTAGCCCTCTTCTGTTTCAGTTTAGGTGACAGACAAAGTTACTTGAATTATGTTGGAGCTTTTTAAAAACTGGTAGTTAAGTTTTATTCTAAATCTCTCGCTTTCTCTCTAAATTCCTTTGCGATTTCTGCTTTGACTCATTGGTTATTCATGAGTGTGTTGTTTAGTTACCACATACTTGTGAATCTCCCAAGTTTCTTTTTATTGTTGATTTTTAAGAATCTCTTCATTTCCGAGGTCATATTTTGTATGACTTCAATCCGTTTTGATTATTGAGCCTTTTTTTTTAAGCATATGACTTATCCCAAAGAATGTTCCATGGTTACTTGAGATAACGGTGTATACTGTCAACTGAGTTCTGTCAATGTCTGATAGGTCTTGTTAGTTTATAATGTTGTCCAAGTCTTCTAGTTCCTTATTATGTTCTGCCTACTTGTTGTATAGATTATTGAAAACAAAGTAATGAAGTCTCCCACTATTAGTATTGAATTGCCAATTTCCCTCCTCAAGTCTGCTCATTGGTGCTTTGTGTAATTTTAAAGTCTCATGTATGTTTATAATGATTATAACTTCTTTATAGGTTGGACCTTTATCGTTATAAAACGTCTCTCTTTATCACCAGTAACTCTTGGTGTTTTTATCATTCATTTTGTCTGAGATAGCTTAACCATTCCAGGTTTTCTATGATTGTTATATGCATGGTTTATCTTTTCCCGTTCATTAACTTCCAATCTATTTGTGTTTATTAATCAAAGTATGCCTCCAGTAGTCGCCATATAACTGCATCTTGTCTTATTATCTGTCTGATGATCCCTGCCTTTTGACTGAACTATTTAACACATTCATATTTAATGTTGTTGCTGCGGCTGTATTCATACCTGCTATTTTACTTTTTATTCTTTATGCGGGGAGACTTCAAAAAGTTCCTGGGAAAATGAAATTAAAGAAGGATACACACAAAAAATATATGCTTTATTTCTCAACATAAGATCCATCAAGGTTAAGATACTTTCGTAAGCAATGGTACTAAGCATTTAGTTCATGTCTAAAGAACCGAGGTTCCTGGGACTTTAACCATGCCAGTGTCGTCTTTTTGACATTGTGAACTGAAGAAAATTGGGTACCCTTTAAAGATTTTTTTAAGACTGGAAACAAAAAGTGAGAAGGAACCAAATCAGGACTGAGAAGTGGATGCCTAATAATTCCCCATCGAAATGATCACAAAATTGCCCTTCTTTAATGAGAGGAATGAGCAGGAACATTGTGTGGAGGGAGAACTCTCTGAGAAAGGTTTTCCAGGCATTTTTCTGCTAAGGCTTTGTTTGAGTCTCTCAAAACACTCTCATAATAAGCAGATGTCATCATTCTTTGGCCCTCCAGAAAGTCAACAAGCAAAAAGTCTTGAGCAATTCCAGAAACTATTGCCATGACCTTTGCTCTTGACCTATCCACTTTGGCTCTGACCAGACCACTTGCACCTCTTGGTCGCCATTGCTTTGATTTATTTTGTTTCAGGGTCATACTGGTAATGCCATGTTGCATCTCCTGTTATAATTCTTCCAAGAAATGCTTCAGAATCTAGATCCCATTGTTCAAAATTTCCATCAAAATCTCGGCTCTTGTCCGTAGATGAACTGGGCAAAACGGTTTGCTAAACTTGTTCAGTTGGGATTCAGTCAAAATCTGTCCAATTGTTGAGTTGGGATGGTAGAAGCTGAGCCAGTTGAGATGCCTGTGGTGTTGGCTGGTACGTCTGCTGCCAATTGCAGGCGCTGTTCAGTTAGGGCACAAACAAGACGTCTTGGTTCCTCATAAATTCATGTGAATCGTTTGCTGCTATGGGCTTCATCTTCAGGGTCATCTCCTCCCTTGTTAAAACAAGTTATCCATTTGTAAACTGCTGATTTTTCTGGGGTGTTATCTTTATAAGTTTTTCACCATTTTTCCACCCAAGCTTCACCAGGTAGTTGATGTTTTTTCTTGCTTCGATTGTAGCAGAATTCACATTGCTTTGACAGGGGCTTTAACCAAACTGATATCCTAATGCTTCAAACTAGATCCTGCTCAGACATGCTCTAACAAGGTATGTTGTTGTTAGTGCCATGAAGTCATTTCCGACTCATAGCACCCCTGTATATGGTTTCTGAGGAGCGGCTAGTGGGTTCGAACCACCAACCTTGTGGTTAGCAGTCCAATGCTTATCCTAACAGTGCCACACCCGGACTCTATAACAAGCAATGTTGTTGTTGTTTGCCACTGAGTCAGTTCTGACTCACAGTGACCCTGTATAGGGTTTCCAAGGAGCAGCTGATAAATTTGAACCACCAACGTTTCAGTTCTAACCAACCTTTTGGTCCAGTACATATTCTACCACACCATACCAGGACTCCATAAAGAGTTACCGTGCAAGTTTATTTTGGTGCAAAAGTATTTTGACATCTATGCTTAGTTTTTTGATTCTGTGTATTCTCCATCAACTTTTTGAAGGCCCTATAAAGAGCTCTAAGGAGCTCTGGTAGCGTAGTGGTTATGAATCAGGCTGCGAACTGCAAGGTCAGCAGTTCGAAACTACCAGCCGTTCTGTGGGAGAAAGATGAGGCTTTCTGCTCCCATAAAGATTTACAGCCTCGGAAATCCTGTACAGGGTCGCTATGAGTCGGAACCAACTCCATGGCACATAACAACAACAACATAAGGAGCTCTGGTAGCGTAGTGGTTACGAATCATGTTGCGAACTGCAAGGTCAGCAGTTCGAAACTACCAGCTGCTCCGTGGGAGAAAGATGAGGCTTTCTGCTCCCGTAACGATTTACAGCCTCGGAAACCCTGTTCCGGGTCGCTATGGGTCGGAACCGACTTGACTGCGCTTAACAACAACATATATGTTTTGTTGCTGTTGTTTTCTTGTTGTTGTCTTTCCTCAGTGCCTCCTTTACTGCTTCCTTTTGCATTAAGTGAATATTCTCCAGTGTATCAATTCAGTTCTTTCAGTGATTTATTTTTAGTTATTTTCTTAGCAATTGCTCTGCAGCTTGTAATCTTCATCATAATTTACCAGAATCAACTTCAGAGTTTTATCTAAGCCTTTTGAAAAGTTGTGATATATAATATAAATCATAAACTGTTCTCAAATAAATCATTATGCAATCACCCCCAGAGCCAGCACCCCCAGATACCTATAGAAAAGGGGGGGGGGCACAAAGAGTATTTCACCATTTCAAGCTTAATCCGGAACAACAAAGGATCTAAAAGGTGTGGCAAACCTAAGTCCGTCTCTTATTTCCCCAAGAATGGAGAGGCTGTGCACTTTTTCTGCAACTATGAGGAGAGCCGGGGCAACTACCTGGTCGATGTGGACGGCAACCGGATGTTGGATCTCTACTCACAGATCTCCTCTGTCCCCATAGGTAAGAGCCAGACAATCAGTCCTGGAATGGAGCCCTCCACACACGCCCATCCCGGCTCTTGGTTGTGGCCTTCCAGGCTTTCAATATCTTGTGGTCAAGGCCACGCATCACGGCACACTTCCTGCAAGGATGGGAGGGCGGGAAGAACAAGTCATGTAGAGAAGCTCCCTAGTGGTGTCATGGGTTAAGCGTTGAGGTGCTAACCACAAAGCCAGCAGTTCAAACCCACTATCAACTCCAAGGAAGGAGAATGAGGCTGGCTGCTCCCATAAAGATTTACGGAGCTCCATGAAGCAGTTCTGCCCTGTTCTATAGCTTAGCTCTGAGTTAGAATCGACTCGATGGCAGCGGTGTTTAGGGTTTCAATGCGTAGAGGGCCTACTGTGTAACTGGTACCTGACATGTCTTTTCATATTTACTCCTTCCCGGAATCCTAAATGGTTAATGCACATTAATAGTCTCATTTTGCACAGGAAGTAAGTAAAGCTTAGAGAGATTAAGTAGTTGGCATCCTGGTGTGGTGCTGTAGGATCATCGCTGGACTACGGACCACAAGGTTGGCGATTCAAACCCACCAGCTGCTCCTCGGAAACCCTATACAGGGGTCACTGAGTTGTAACCGACTCCCATGCTTCACAATAGCAACAAAAGAGGAAACGAGCTAGGAGTTTAATCCTAACCTGTGCGGTGCTTTCCACACGACCACCATGAGTACAATGTCAGATGCCTCAGGTCTGAGACTGGGAATCCTGTGTAGGTGGTGTGTACCAGGCCCGGCTGCTAAGTCTGGAGGTTCGAGTCTACCCAGAGGAGCCTGGGAAGAAAGGCCTGGTGATCTGCTTCTGAACAACCAGCCATTGGAAGCCCTCTGGAGCACAGTCCTACTCTGACATACGTTCAGGGGCGCCCTGAACCGAGACTACTCAGTGAACACTAGATTTTTCCTCAGGAGAAAAGGGAGTAGGGGGAATGCTGAGAAGACTGGGGTCCCAGCTAGAGACTGGTGGAGGGGCGTGAATTGCACCCCAGGGTTAGCCCCAGACTGAGGTAAAGGGGCTGGCCTCTGTGTACCCCCACATCAGTGTTCCATTTCCTGCCAGCTGTCAGAGGGGATATTCACAGGTAGTCTTCCGGGCAGCGCAGCTTCCGTTAGCCAAAGGTGGGTTTTGCAGGGAGGGAGACAGCAGGTGCTGTTCCAGTCAACACACACACCAGCTGGGAGATGGGTGTACCTGCCAGGAAAGGTGACAGGGTGGGGCACCCACAGCATCAGCTTCACCTGGCAATAAAGAATTAGGCATAGGGGTTGACAGGAGATGCCGGTCACTGCTGCCTGCAACCTTGTGGGTACGTCTCTGGTTGGTGATCTGTAGGCTGCGTGTCTGATGAAGCCTGTCTCCTGGAGCACATTGCAGGTGTGTCTGCCGCAGAGAAGACGGGGTGCTCTCCACTGCACCTCCGCTCCCCTGTCCCGTTTCTACCAACCTATTTCCTTCCCATGAAGACACAATTAGCTCAGTGCCACCTCAGTCTGCTGGAGAAATCTGTCAGTCAGAGATGTTTCAGCCTTTCAAAGGCTTTTAGATTCAAATATTTACAAAAGCCTATCTCCCCTCTGAGATGGACTGACGGAGTGCCTCAAACATGGTACCAGTTGTGAGCATGTGCAGAACCGAGCAGTGCTTTGTTCTGTTGTACGTGGGTTCAGAACCAACTCAATCAGCCCTAACAACAACATCGTCCCTTTAAAGAGGTCTGGTGGCACAAGGACTTAAGTGCTCAACTCACTCCACAAGATGAATGGTTCAAATCCACCAGTTGCTCCGTAGGAGATCACCGGAAAATCTGTTCTCATAAAGGTGACAGCCTAGAAAACTTTATGGGGCAACTGTGCCGGCACACTAGACGGCTGTCAACATCAACGTAACATCACCTAACAACGGCAACAACCCTCGGTGTCAGACTTTCAGGGTGGGCTCCTCTAGTTCCATCCACATTCCGGGTGTGCGGGGGATGGGAAGGGCCACGCCGACAGCTCTTGTCAAAGACTGTTGTGGTGGGCTTCAGTTTCCAGTAGTTAATGCCAACTCGTGGAGACCCCACATGTGCAGAGTAGAACTGACCCATCCAGTTTTCAAGGCCGTGACCCCTTGGAAACAGATTGCCAGGCTTGTCTCCCGAAGTGCCTCTGAGTGGATTCAAACCGCTGACCTTTCAGCCAAGCACTTAACCAACCGTACCACCTGGAGACCTTGCTTAGTGGCTACAAATTCTCAAAGTTCTGTGTCTGGCCACCTCTTCTCTCACATCCATAATCTTGGAGGTAGGTTTTTTAAGTTAATAATTACTGAGCAGTCACTGCATGCTTGCAACAATCCAATATCGTAGGGTGTGAGATGTGTGGATTTCAAGAGGTCACAAGCATGCCCACCGTGTACAGAGTACCGGGCCAAGCAGGATTCTACGCCCTAAGCACACTCCCGTGATTCCCGCCTCCTAGGTCCTTGGGGGTCCAGCAGCACAGATCCAGCATGGGATTATTTGATCAGAGGAACTACTATTGCTTTCATCGCTCTGTCAGAAGCCGTAAAACAAGCTGCCTCTATGGCGGAATGAGGTTACCCTGGAACAGGCTTATCTGCTGCAGCAGAAAAGTCATAAACACCCAGGCAGTCTGATAAGGAGCAGGAGCGAAGAAACCTTTGACCAAAACAAAACAGTTGGAAAAATCCAGTTCTGCTTTTCAGCCCTGGGCCCAGCATGCCTTGGATTGGTCCCACCAGTAATCCTCTCCCCAGTACACACTGGCCCCCTGAAGTCAGCTTCTCATCTAACCAAAAGGTCAGCGGTTCAAACCCACCAGTTAGTCGTTCCTTGGGAGAAAGACGTGGTGGTGTACTTCCGTAAAGAGGACAGCCTTGGAAACCCGATAGGTTCTGTTCAGTCGTGTTGGGTCAGAATCGAGTCGATGGTGCCCCTCAACCTGTCCTCCCAACAGGAAGCAGAGTGAAGCCACAAGACTTTTCATCACTCTTTTGAGTCCATCCAGAAGAAAGTCTTCTCTGGCTGATGCTGTATCTTTTATACAAGGAGGCATCAAAATGTTCTTGGAAAAATGAAATCGAAAGTTAATGGGATTTCCCCACAAACTTTTTGAAGTCCCCTCATCTGACCTAACTTGCCAAGCCCTGGAGTGATGCAAATGGTTAGCACTAACCAAAAGGGTGGAGCTTAGGGTCAATCCTGAGCACCTTGGAAACAAGGCCAGGAGATCTACTGCCCAAAAAATCAGCCATTAACAACCCTATGAAACACAGTTCTTCTCTGACACTCAAGGCATCAACATGAGTGGGAATCAGCTCAACAGCATAGGGTTTGGTTGCGTTTGGTATCCCATGTCTGGAGAGAGTTACAGGATTGGGAAAAAAGGAGAGGAGTGGGCAGGTTTTCACCACCAGCTGCTCTGGGGCTGGGGTGCAGCCTCGCCACAGACCAACCGGGACTCGATGTGAGGCAAAAGCTGGGAATGGGCATCATCTACCCTTCTGTGGAGGGCTTGAAAACCACTGGGCTCCAAGCTGTTGTTTTGACTCTCCATGACGTCAGAACACGTAGAAGGGAAGAAAAAATCATCAAGAATGAGAGTTGTTGATGAGTATTTTTCTTACAGAGAAAGAGAGACCTACCAGCTTTGACGTGACTTGCAGTTTCCTCTCCCAGGGCTGCTGGGAGACAACCTGGAGGGCTCAGAGTCCTCACCCATCAGCCTTTCTGTCCTGCACAGCTCTATTACAAACTCTCATTGTCTGGTGGTGATGGTGGGGCGTCCAACTCATAGCCACTCTGTACAGGGTGTCTAAGACTAAATCTTTATGGGAGCAGAAAACCTCATCTTTCTCCCACAGAACAGCTGGTAGATTCAAACTATTGACCTTGTGGTTAGCTTGTTGTTGTGATGTGCTGTGGAGTCAGTTCCGACTCATAGCAACCCTGTACAGGGTTTCCGAGGCTGTAAATCTTTATGGGAGCAGAAAGCCTCATCTTCTTCCCGCGGGACAGCTGGTAGTTTCTTACTGTGGTTAACTGTCCAGCTCAAAATTCACTACACTACCTGAGCTCTTTCTCATTTATTATTCCTGTTCCCCTACTGATGAACATTAGGTAGTTTTCAAGTTTTGCCGTAGTACAGAGTATCGTATAATTAACCTACCTGTCCATAGGTTTTTGTTCACGTCTGTAGGAATAATTCCTAAAACCCACTGGTGTCTACTCACTGCCAATTCACGGTGACGCTAAAGGACAGAGTGGAACTCTTCTATTGTCACTCTTGACAAGTGTAGACAGCCTCATCTTTCTCCCACAGAACTGCTGATACATTAGGGCTCCTCTTTATACAAAACTAGTTGTTAAATCAGAGAGATCTTTGTCTTAAGTCTTGTAACTGTGTAGCATCTGGCCCTATCAGGAGAGTAATTGGGATTGGTTGGGTACCGTCAACTTGATTCTGATTCCCAGCAGAATGGAACTGCCCCAGGAAGCACCTCAGGTCCTGGGTTTGATTCATCGTTACAAGAGCAGATCACCAGGTCTTTCTTCCGTGGGCCTGCTAGGTGGATTTGAATCACTGACCTTTCTGTTAGCAGCTGAGCATTTAACCATTATACTACCAGGGAGTAAGCAGATGTATGAAGGCATGACCATAGATGGCAGGATTGTCTCAGGGGTCCCGAGGCCCACTCAACCTTCAGGCACTGGGAGAAGGCAAAGATGGTGTCTGTCATTCATCTCTTGACCTCTGGTCCGCTCCTGCAGCTTTGCTTTAATCTTGTGTTATTTTGTTTCTGTCGACCTGGTGCCAAGGAGGCCTAGGGTGGTGCTATGGTTTTAGCACTGGACAGCTAACCACAAGGGTTCAAACCCACCAGCTATTCCTCAGAAACCCTGTACAGGGTTGCTGTGAGTCAGAACAATAATCGAGTCTCAAACCCAGTATCATCAAGTCCATTATTCCGACTCATGGGCACCCCGTAGGATAGAGTAGAGCTGCCCATAGGGTTTCCAAGGCTGTCAGGTGCTCGACGGCTAACCAAAAGGTTGGTGGTTTGAACCCAGCAGCAGCTCTGCAGAAGAAAAATGTGGCGCTCTGCTTCTGTAAAGACTGACAGTGTGGGACACCCCCGGGTTGTTCTGCTCTGTACAGTAGGGTCACCATGAGTGGGAATCAACTTGAAGTCTTTATGGAAGTACATGGCACGTCTTTCTCCCCAGGAGCAGCTGGTGGGTTCAAACCGCCAACCTGTCAGTTAGCAGCCAAGTGCTTTAATCACTGTGCCATCAGGGTGCTCTGTTTCGTCCAAACCCGCTGCCTTCGAGCCAATTCTGACTGGTGGCAGCTCTCTCTAGGACCGCATAACACTTCCCCTTTGGATTTCCACAACAAGGTCTTCACCAGAGCAGCCTCATCCTTCTCCTGCTGGGTTTGAACTGCCAACTCTGTGGTTAGCAAGCCACCACTTCACCCACAGCTGTCAGTGCCCCTTCTGCCTTGGATCAAACCCACCACCAGCGAGTCCATCTCAACTCATAGCAACCCTGTACTGGGTTTCCCAGACTGTAATCTTTCCCATAAAGATTTACAGCCTCGGAAACCCTGTACAGGGTCGCTATGGGTCGGAGTGGACTCAACGGCACTTAACAACAACAACATCGATATTTATGGAAGCAGACAGTCTCATCTTTCTCCCAAGGAACAGCTAGCTGGTGGGTTTGAACTGATGACCTGTAGGTTAGCAGCCCAACCCCTAACCCACAAGCAGTTGAATCAGAATCAGAAAGATTCCCGGGCCCCACTCTGAGAGATTCTGAGTTGGTGCATCTGGGCTGGGTCCTGGAAATTGGTTTCTCATCTGCAAAGGATGAAGGACATAGTGGTGTGTGAACAAGTCCCTGGTGGTATAAACTGTTGACTCTCAACACTAACTTAAAAGTTGCAGTCAGAGCCCACCCCTTGGCCCCACAGACCAGCCTGGCAGCATGCTTCTGTGAAGATTGCACTCAAGCAAACCCTGTGGGGCACTTCCTCTCTGTAACACACGGGGGCGCCATGATTTGGAATGAACTTGATGGCAGCAGGTTTGGTTTGGGGTCTGTGAAGCGAGTTACAGAGAGGAGCACAGAAAAGCCCGATACAGTGCCGGTCTCTAACACTGCCTCTTCCCGCAGGTTACAACCACCCTGCGCTCATAAAGCTCCTCCAACAGCCTCAGAACGTGGTAAGTCCCCAGGTGACGGACTCAGCTGCTTCCTCTGAATGGGCCCACGGTGGCAGCCTTTGGGAACATCCCTTCATTTATAAATGTCTGTCAGGTGCGCGTTCCAGTGGGGCCCTCCTCTCACTTGGCGTCTCTCCGACATCCACTTGTGCCTCTGCTTGGGCCCAGCTGGAAACTTCATGGCCTCATCTCCCCGTCTTCATTACTAGGGACCTATATCGCAGGTGGAGTGTCCCCTTTACCATGTAACATCACACGTTCACAGACCGCACACGCACCCCTTTGCTGTACCATCGCGACTTTCAACGTGAAGACAGTAGGTCTTTTCCACCCCTGCAGAGTCCTGGTGTGGCACTGTAGGATAAGCACTGGACCACAAGGTCAGTTTGAACTGCAAGGTGGGTGGTTCAAACTCACCAGCCGATCCTTGGAAGCCCTGTACAGGACAGATATGAGTAGGGACCGATTTGATGGCACTCAACGACAACAACAGAGAATTCATGAAAGAGATCCTGGTGGCGTACTTCGTTACGTATCAGGCCGCTTACTGCAAGGTCAACAGTTTGAGTCCACCAGTGGCTCCATGAAAAAAAGATGAGGCTTTCTGCTCCCTTAAAGAGTTACAGCCTTGGAAACCCTATACAGGGTCACTGAGTCGGGACCAACTTGACAGCACTTAACAAAAACAACAAGAGAATGCATTCATTGTAATCATGACCAGAATAAGAAACAGAAGACCCTTTTTGGCCCCCACCCAAGGACTATTCCCCCCACCAAGCCTACTCCCCTAACCAACAACAGTACATTTGAATTTTCCCTCTTACTGAATTCACATCAATGACATCATATACTGTATTATCATGTATGGCTGACTTCAGAGACTCACTCACTTCTGGGATTCACTGCAAGCCATTGATTTTCATTGCCTTGTCCTGGTGTGTGATGCTGTAGGATAAGCACTGGACTGCAAGGTTAGTTTGAACCACAAGGTCAGCAGTTCAAATCCACCAGTCACTCCTCAGAAACCCTATACAGGTTCACTATGAGTCGGAACCAATTCCATGGCACTTAACAACAACAAACAAGATAGCATTCAGTTGTGTTAAGAGACCACAGTTGATTAATCCATTCTACCATTAAGGGGCATTTGAGTGGCTTCCAACTTGGAGCTCATTCAAGTACCATGTTTTTTACACAACTAGTGTACACCGTATACGATTTACTGCAAACCACCCTTTTGCATTAGTTTCCCATGCACCCTATACTCATTAAATGTGTGTGCCTGTTGTTTACATGGGTGGCTCCTATGTGAAAATGTGGTCCATGTCTTTTGGTGAACATCATTAAATGCCTTTCTGTTGGGTACAAAGGTAAGAGCGGAATTGCCTAAGTCTGTGCATGTAGTTTGTACCTGTTTCCACACCTAGCAGCAGTGACCGGGAGCTTCCTCTAAGAAAGGCAGAGGAACAGGCTGACTCCCCAGCTTTCAAACTCTCCGCCTTTTAACTGGCACAGTCGGAAAAGCTTAGAACGAGCCGCATTCTCCTCTCTGAAGGGATGCCACCCCTTCCTGGGAGGGGCGTGCGGACGTTTTCTGCCTCTGGTGAACTGAGGGGCTCCAGGACCCCTGTAGAGAAAGCCAGCAAACTCCTGAAGGCGTCTGCTTGCAGTCAGAGCTGGAGTTTGTTTACGTTCAGAGCTTGCTTTGTTTCTAAACTTTGCATGGATCCCAGATGCCTCAGCAGTTGGTCCTGGAAAAAAAAAAAATGTGTCAACAAACCTGTCACACACATTTGCAGTATCAACTGCCTCCGGAGGCAGAATCTTCCGGAGGAACGCGTGACTTGGAGGTTCAGCGATTCTGATTTCGGGAATGGTAGTGCCTTACCCCCAAGAAGCTGCAAGCCACACTGTATCCTTCCTGACCCCTGACCACTCATCTCTCACCTAGCTGGGCACTAGCCACAGTCCTACTGCTCCTACTTGGATTTTTCCCAGCAGCCCCCCTCGCCCCCCTGTCTTACCGCCAAACACACTTCAAGCTACCAGCTGTAACCAGTTTAGACTCATCGGGTTTCCTTGGAGCAGCTTGTGGGTTTGAACTGCCGACCTTGTGGTTAGCAATCCAGTACTGATCCATGAATGCCATCCCAGGACACTGTAACCAGTGTTGGAGTACCCAGTAAGTAAGGTTAGCACAGCCGACTTGTGCTTTTACTGTTCTATAATGAATAAGGTCCCATTGGTCCACCACCTCAAAGATTCTGCTTATAGCTATGATGGCACTCTGTCTCTCCCCAAGCCCCATAGCACCTTCCAACAGAAAGTGTCCTTCTAAATGTACAGTCCAAAAAGGCAAAGCTGCTGCCATCAAATCAGTTCTGGTCACAGCCACCCTTTCAGACAAAGTAGAGCTCTTCAACAGGGTTATGAAGTCTGTCATCTTTTATAGAAGCCAAGTGCTGTATCTTTCTCCCATGGAGTGGCTGGTGGGTTTGAACTGCCAACTTTTCCCTTAGCAGCCAAGCACTTAACCACTGAGCCAGCAAGCCTCTGACCCAGTCAGCAAGATGCAGTGAAACCCGTGTAGAATTGTTCACTTACAGCTGAGTAAGCAAGCATAAGCAAGCTCGTGATCTGACTGCTCCAGCCTTCAGCACGCACCCCAAACGCCTCCACTTCCACACAAAGCCCTTTGCTGTGGGATCCTGCCCACTTCTCAAGCCTCACTTCTTGACATCTGTTCGGTCACTTGCTTCGGAGTGAATCCCTACTGTGTGTCGGGATTTGAACAGAAGACAGGGCTCCTGGCCTCAGGGCCTGTACTTCCGCCCAGCCACACTCTTCCAGGGGTTCCAAGGTAGTGCTGGAGTTGGTCTACTGGGATCCGGCTTGGGACTTGGTAAAAAGGAGCAGATTGCACCCAAAACATTATTGAAATGGTAGCCATTGGCCATAAGCTCTAAGACCCTGGGCATCACACTAGGTTTTCTGCTGACTGACTTCTTGGATCTTCGAAATACTTGGCAGGGGATTCACTCAGGTGGTGGTGAGGATTGCATTTTTCCCTCCAGGTCATTGAAGGCCCAAGAAAGTGGCGTCTGCACTCTTGGGAATCCAATCACCTCATCCTGAAACTCCCAACATAGTTGGTTCCCTTCTGCTGCTACAAACACTAGCCATGTCCCATAGCTGTCTCCAGATACATCTCATTATGTTGCCTACCTGTTCTAGAGTCATCCTTGGACATGGTCCATGAATGACGAGAGAAGTCCAGAACGCAGTGTTGTAGGCATGGCCAGGCCACATGGCAGCCTGTGTCCTCCGGGGCTTTCCCCCTCTGATTCAGAGTGCTGTTGATATCCCCACTGGGTCTCTGTAAGCACAAGGTCACTTACACCAAAGCCCTTTCTCCTCACACAGTACTCTCATATACTGGCTTGGGTGACAAGGATTTAAAAAACCTGCCTTCATTTGATTCTGCTGCCCGGTGTCCCACATAGCTTCTACTCTTACTGACACGCTTTGTCGAGCAAGTGAGCCACCCCCACGCCATTCCTGGGCCCAGATAGGCAGTAAGGCTGCCACCACCAGCTCGGTACTGCAATCTTCCTCCTCTGTGAGCCATGTCCCCATGATGATGCTGTTTGCTGTGACCTTGTTCTCCTGATGCGTCTGATTGCTTAGGAGCCTCGGAGACAGCTCAGGGCAAGAGATAAATGCCCCTTACTGCCCACCGGGTGGGCCAGGGTCTCCAGGTTGTGCCAAGCAAACATGTACCCAGCTTGAACATTTTCCAAGGGTGACCTCCTGGGTGTATGAGAAGTCAGCAAACCTGGGTTGGGATTCTGGTTCTGCCCCTTCTGTGTGACTTTGGGTCAGTTACTTGACCTCTCTGATCCTCATGACACAGCACTGAGGAGGATTAACTTCTCTCCCAGAGCAAGGCATAAATGGTTTGCATTTAGCTATTAACCTAAAAGTTGGTGGTTCTAACACATCCATTGTTGTTGTTAAGTGCCATCGAGTCAGTTCTGACTCTTAGCAACCCTGTATAGGGTTTCCGAGGAGCAGCTGGTGAATTTGCTGTTCAAACAGACTCTGCAGTCCAGTGCATTAACCCTGAGTGATACACCATCCATTAGCACCCTATAAGAAAGACCTAGCGAACAGCTTCCTTGAAGACTGTTGTTAAGTGCTGTCGAGTCAGTCCCAACTCATGTATAGGGTTTCTGAGGTGTGGCTTGTGAGTTTGAACTGCCAACCTTGTGGTTCAAACCAACCTTGTGTTCAAGTGCTTATCCTGCAGCGCCACATCAGGACTCTCCATAAAGGTTACAGCCCAGGAACTCTTATGGAATAAAGTTCTACTCTTGCACATGGGGTCGTTCGTTATGAGTTGGACTTGACTTGGCAAGGAGTTTGGTTTTGGGTTTTGAGTTGTGCTTTGTTTTGTTGAACCTGCTTTAGACCTTCCTTAGTGGTCCCAAAGCAGGAAAAAACATGGACTATGTTGCTGTTGTTGTTAGGTGCCGTGTTGAGTCCGTTCTGATTCATAGAGACCCCCCTGTGCACAGTGGGATGAAACACTGCCTTATTCTACGCCGTCCTCACAATTGTTAGGTTTGAGCCCACTGTGGTTGCCACTATGCCAATCCATCTCATCGGGGGTCTTCCTCTTTTTCACTGACTCTCCATTTTACCAAGCATGATGTCTTTCTTCAGGGACTGGTCCCTCCTGGTAATGTGTCCAAAGAATGAGATGAAGTCTACATCCTGGCTTCTGAGGAGCATTCAGGCTGAACTTTTTCTGAGACAGATTTGTTTGTTCTTCTGACCGTTCATGTACCTTTAATATTCTTTGTCAATACCATAATTCAAATGCATCTGTTCTTCTACGGTCTTCCTTATTCATTGTCCAATTTTAAAAATGCCGTGGCTTGAGTCCGGCACATGTTAGTCCTCAAACTATTGTCTTTGCTCTTAAACACTTTGAAGAGGTCTTTTGCAGCAGATTTGCCTAATGCAGTATGTCATTTGATTTCTTGACTGCTGCATCCATGAGTGTTGATTGTGATCCAAGCAAAATGAAGTCTTTGACAACTTCAATTTTTCTTCATTTATCATGATGCTCTTTATTGGTCCAGTGGTGAGGATTTTTGTTTTCTTTACATTGAGATGCAACCCCATACCGAAGGCTGTGGTCTTTGATCTTCATCAGTATTTTAAGTTCTCTTCGCTTTCAGCAAGCAAGGTTGTACCATCTACATATCACAGGTTGTTAATGAGTCTTCCTTCAATCTTGATGCCACATTCTTCTTCATATAATTTAGCTTCTCAGATTATTTGCTCTGCACACATATAGAATAAGTATGGTGAAAGGATACAACCCTGGTGCACACCTTTCCTGATTTTGAACTACTCAGTATCCCCTTGTTCTATTCTAATGACTGCCTCTTGGTCTATGTACAAATTCCTCATGAGCACAATTATATGTTCTGGAATACCCATTCTTCTCGATGTTACCTATAGTTTGTTATGAGCCAAACAGTCAAATGCCTTTGCATAGTCAACAAAGCACAAGTGAACATCTTTTTGGTATTCTCTGCTTTCAGCCAAGATCCATCTGACATCAGCAATGATATCCCTCATTGCACAGCCTCTTCTGAATCTAGCTTGAATTTCTGGCAGCTACTTGTAAATGTAACATTGCAAATATTTTTAAATTTTTATCAGTAAAATTATACTTACATGTGATATTAATGATATTGTTGGATGAGTTCTGCATTCCGTTGGATCGTCATTCTTTGGAATGTGCAGAAATATGGATCTCTTCCAATTGGTTAGTCATCGCATAGACGGGTAATGTCTTCAGCACTGCATCAGTTTGTTGTAATATTTCAATTTGTATTATGTCAGTTCCTGGAGCCTTGTTTTCCACCAATGTCTTCAGTGTGGCTTGGACTTCTCCCTTCAATACCATTGATTCTTGATCATAAGTTACCTCTTGAAATGAATGAAAATCAACTAATCTTTTTTGGTACAGTGACTCTGTATTCCTTCCATCGTCTTCTTTTTTAAAAAAAAAAAACAACAACACCTTTTTATTGTGAATTGAATGAAGGTTTGCAGACAAGATCATCAGCTTTACATTCAATGAATCATACACTTTGTTTGTTTCATCTCAGTGATGGCAACAACCATTGCCCCACTTCCTTCCTGTGATTAACTCGATAAAATATCCTCTTTCAAACTCTTACATATTTGTGGGGATGTATAAATATGTATATACCCCACTTTTCCTCCCATACCCATTCAGTCTGTGTCCCTGTCCATGCAGAACACTGTTGTTCCAATGTTGTGTATAGATCACCATTTACCTGTATCCATTGAGCCCTTGTGTACCTCCCTGTGTCTTCACCTGTCTCCATCATTGTTCTACCGCCCTCTCTCTTCTTGAATAATGCCCTCCCTGTCATCTGAGTGAACACGTGTGTACCCTCTAGCCTGTGAATTACTTTCCCTTCCCTCCCATCCCAGTAGCCATCAAAGAATGTTTCTTTTAGTATGAACACCTTTTTCTTGAGTTTTTACAATAATCGTCTCATACAATACTTGTCCTTTGTGATTGACTTATTTCAGTCAACATAATGTCCACCAGGTTCATCCATGTTATGAGATGTTTTGCAGATTCACCATTATTCTTCAGTGTTGCGTAGTATTCCATTGTGTGTATGTACCAAAGTTTGTTTATCCACTCTTCCATTGAAGAGTACTTAGGCTGTCTCCATCTTTTTGCTATTGTAAATTGTGCTGCACCGAACATCAGTGTGTGTCTGTCTACTCATGTCAAAGCTCTTATTTCTTGCCTTCCATTTTCTTTTGATGTTTCCAGCGTCATTCAATATTTTACCCATAGAATTCTTTAATATTGAAACCCTAGACTTGAGTTTTTTCTTCAGTTCTTTCAGCTTGAGAAAATCTGAACATGTCTTCCCTTTCGGCTTTCTAATTCCAGGTCTTTGCCCATTTCATTATAATTCTTGACTTTGTCTTTTCGGACCGCCCTTTGGAATTTTCTGTTCAGCTCTTTTACTTCCTCATTTCATCTAGTTGCTTTAGCTTCTTTACGATCAAGAGCAAGCTTCGAAGTCTCTTCTGAGATCCATTTTAGTCTTTTCTTTCTTTCCTGTCTTTTTAATGACCTTTTGCTTTCTTCATCAGTGATGTCATCCCACAACTCTTCTGGTCTTCAGCCATTAATGTCTAATGAAGAAAGCCTCTTCGTGAGATGATCTCTAAGTTCAGGTGGGATATACTCAAGGTTCAAACCCAGCCTCCAGTCCTTGGAAACTCTGTACATGGTCACTGAGTCGGATCCGACTTGATGGCACTTAGTGACAACAACGACAGTATAGTCATGGTTCTATTTTGGTTCTCGTGGACTTGTTTTTAATTTTCGTCAATTTCAGCCTGAACTTGCATGTGAGTGGTTGATGGCCTGTTCCACAGTCAGCCCCTGGCCTTGTTTTGGCTGAAGATACTGAGCTTCCCCATCATCTCTTCCCACAAGTATAGTCAATTTGATTCCTCTGTAGTCCACTTGGTGAGGTCCACTTTTATGTTAATGGTCCATGTTTATGCCTTTTATGTTGTTGAAAAAAGATACTTGCAATGGGGAAAATCATTGGCCTTGCAAAATTTTATCATGCTATCTCCAGCATTGTCTCGACCACCAAGGCCACATTTCCCAACTACTGATCCTTCCTCTTTGTTTCCAACTGTTGCAATGCAATCACCAATAATGATCAATGCATCCTGATTGCATGTTTGATCAATTTCAGACTGAAAAATTTGGTAGAATTTTTCAACTTCATCATCACGGTCTTTAGTAAATTTGAATAATTTACTAAGTATAATTTAGTGGATACATTTGAATACTGGTGCTATTAACTGTTCTTCCTGGTTAGCATGTGGATATTATCCTATCACAGACAGCATTGTGCATTCAAGATAGATCTTGAATGCTCTTTTTGACAACAAATACTTAGCCATTCCTCTTCAATTTGTTGTCATAGTAAACCATTTGATTGATAATCTGATTCAAAATGGCCAATTCCCTCCATGTTAGCTCACTAATGTCTAGAATATTGATCTTTATGCATTATTTCATTTCATTTTGGACAACTTTCAATTTTCCTAGATTCATACTTCATACATTCCGTGTTCTGAGCATTAATGGATATTGGCAGCTGTGTCTTCTCATTTTGAGCGCATGAACTTTGCTCCATTCCCATCATTGAAGTCAGCCCTGTTTGAGAAGGCAGCTCTTCCCCAGTCATCCTTCAGTGCCTTCCGACCGGAGTGACTCGTCTTCTGGCACTATGTCTGCCAGTGTTCTGCTAATGGCTGCCCATTCAGAAGTGGTCTCTGCTTCTCCCTAGTCTCTGTTACTCTGGGAGCTCCACTGAAACCTGCCCACCATGAGTGATCCTGCTGGTATTTCACATGCTGGTGACATAGCTTCTAGTATCTCACCGGCACACAAGCCACCACAGAAGGAAAAACTGATTGACAAGTGGTGGAACTATAGAATAGAATAGAACATAATATTATAACCAGGAAATTGGCATTTAGCCTTTTTTTCAATCCAGAGAAATCTCAGTTTATTGCTCTGAAAGTTCAGGAAAAACCTGTTACCTGGCAGCACCATTCAGCACCTATTTGAATACTGAAAGTGCCATGGGCTGCCAAAAGAACCAACAGATCTGTGTTGGAAGAAGTGCAGCCAGAGTGCTCCTTGGAGGCCAGGATGGCCAAACTTCATCTCTCATACTTCGGACATATTATCAGGAGGGACCAGTCGCTGGAGAAGGATGTCATGCTTGGTAAGATGGAGGGTTAGAGATAAAGAGGAAGACCCCCAGCGAGATGGATTGGCAAAATGGCAGCATCAATGGGCTCAGGCGTGGCAACGATAGTGAGGTTGGCCCAGGATCGGGCAGTGTTTCTTTCTGCTGTGCATAAGGTCACCATGAGTCGGTACCCACTCGATGGCACCTAACAACAACAACAAGAAATAATAAAGAAGAAGGAGCTCTGATAGCATAGTGATTATGAGTTGGGCTGCTAACCTCAAGGTCAGCAGTTCAAAACTACCAGCGGTTCCGCAGGAGAAAGATGAGGCGTTCTGCTCCTGTAAAGATTTACAGCCTCGGAAGCCCTGTACAGGGTCGATATGAATCAAAACCAACTCCATGACACATACCCACCAAACCACCATAGTGCAGTGGGCGGTGACCTGGACGGTGTGGGGGGCACTTGGGCCCTGGAAGTCACTCTCTGTCTTCTGGTGTTTTTGCAGAGCTCATTCATCAACAGGCCTGCCCTCGGGATCCTGCCCCCAGAGAACTTCGTGGAACAACTCAAGGAGTCGTTGCTCTCGGTGAGGCCCTTGGGGCCCCAGGCACCCCACTTCTGTGCTGTCTTTCTGTTCTTCTCCAGGGGAGGGAAGGAGTGGATTGAGACCCAAAAGAGTGAAGGCCTTGGCTATACTGCTCCTGCTTTCAGGAAGAGTATTTTAAATGTTCTTTTTGAAGAAGGGATTCCCTGAGTGCAGGAAGAAGAGCTGGGGAAATGACCTCCCCCAGGCCAGGAGCCTGGCCTGTGTTTTGTAACTGTGTCTCTTCTCACTGATTAAAGCAACCCGGAGCCTCCACTGCCCACCCATAAAACATGGGTGTCCAAGAAAAGACCGGCAGTGGTGTTTACGATGCCCAGGGTTGTCTTTGCTCTCCTTCCTGTCCCAAGCTTGACTCCTCCACTCCCAGAAGAGCCTTGAGTCCCCCTTCCAGTCCATTTCCTCCCACCCCTCTAGCTGGAGGCCCAGAACTGGCCAGTGCAGGACCCAGCTCTAGGGAAGGGTCAGAACTCACAGCTCTGTGTCCCTCCTGGTAGGTGGCTCCCAAAGGGATGTCGCAGATCATCACCATGGCCTGCGGTTCCTGCTCCAATGAGAATGCCTTCAAGACTATCTTCATGTGGTACCGGGTGAGGCTTCGGGGCATGCGAGCCCACACACATGCGCGCGCGCACACACACACACACACACACACACACAGGTTCTCACAGCCCCAGCCCAAACACGCTCACCCTGTCCCATTGCTCATTACAAATGGCTAGAGTGTTGGACTTCGGTGACCCTGGTCAGTTTCCAGGGTGTCAGACTGACTGATGTAAAGATGCTTTCCCCCGGTAGAGCATCCACCATCTCCACGGAACTTGGTTATTGCTAATAGGGAATCAGTGCATCGTGTGGACGTATCCGCTGATGTCACTGCAGCCCAGCTGGCCACCCTCTGCCTCAGTGCCTGCATCTAATGATGGGAGGTGCGGTGAGCCCGTGCATTGACTCTTGAGAAAGCGTTGTCGGGAGGAAATGGCGAGTCAGACCTCTTCATTCCCTCAAGCATCTCTAAGTGGCTGTTCTCTCCTGGTTTCTCAGAACAAGGAAAGGGGTCACGCGAGCTTCTCCAAAGAGGAACTCGAGACCTGCATGATCAATCAGGTAAGTGCCCCTGGGCCCTGCTGGCACCGAGCCCACCACAATTCCCCTCCTCCAGTATGAGAGGCCCCTGACCAACCACCCCCCGACCCTTTGTTGATGAGCTGAGGGTCGTCTCCTGAGCAGCTTCACCAGCATCCCAGGACCACTGCCTGGATTTGACAGGTCTAAAGAGACCAGGAAATCCTGGTGTGGCGCTGGGGGCTAATGCGTCAGATTGCAAAGTCCTTTGAACTGCAAGGTCGGTGGTTCAAGCTCACCAGCTGCTCCTTGAAAACCCTATACAAGGTTGCTATGGGTCAGAATCGACTTGACAGCACTTAACAACAACAGCAAGGAGACCAGAGGAGCCCTGGTGGTCCTGTGGGATAAGCACTGGACTCCTAACCACAAGGCCGGCCATTCAAACCCACCAGCTGCTTCATGGGAAAACGATGAAGCTCTCTGCTCCCGTAAAGACCCAGCACTCTGTTGGGTCACTATGAGTCCGAATCGACTCCAGGGCATTCGGCATCCCCGAATGGTACAGCTCATTAAGCACTTGACTACCAACTGGAAGGTTGGAGGTTTGAGACCATCTAGAGATGCCTTAGGAGAGAGGTACTATCTGCTTCTAACAAAGCAGCTATTGCAAATCCTGTGGGCCATAGCTCTACTCTGACACACACAGGGTCACCTCACCAGGAGTCAGAACCCACTAAATAGCAACCGGTTAACGAAGGAGGTTATGAATCTAGAGAGAACTGAGGACGCTCACATAACTGTATGTGCGCACCAGGGCGTTGTCCATCATCCCTCTGACCTGGGTAGGAGCAGTGATGTGAGAGGGACATCCAAGGACGGAGAGCAAGTCATTCAATGTAGGGCTGCAAATGGGGCCCCCGCAGTTCACAGAGGCACCCAAGAAGCCACTGTTGGGGAACCATGATGGGGAACCAAAGAGAAAACCTGATAAATAGGATTCCACTCCCCTGCTTCAAGAGCAGCTACCATTTCCTGGTTTATGTGCAGAGGATGGGGTGGCCATTAAGGTTTAAACTAAAGCTCTTACAGCTTAAAAAAAAAACAAAAGCCACTGAGCTTTTGATGCTGCTGTGTGCAGCCACCGAGTTCTGCAGCAGAAATAGATGCACAGGGTTTACTCTTGGTGTGGAAACATGCATGTTGGAATATCGTGAAAACGAGCAACACCTATCAAAAAAATCCTAGAAAGAATCGGCTAACGCGTTTACGTGGGTTGCCCCTGGGTATTGAGACTAAGGATTTTTTTCTTTATGCTTTCTTAGTGTTTGGCATGTCTCTTTCTAATCCTGCCTCTGAGTGTTAGCATATGTAGTCCATACCTTCCTTCCTGTGTACACAGCCCACTGCTGTGGAATATCCCACTCGCAGTGACCCCTTGTGACGACAGAGAACTGCCCAGTGTTTTTCTAGGCTATCTTTACCAAAGCAGATTGCCAGGTCTTGCTCCCGCAGAGCCCCTAATGGGTTTGAACCGCCAACCTTTCAGTTAGCAGCCAAGTGCTTAACCTCTTAATCACTGTACCACCAGGGCTCCTTCTAGCTGTACAAATCTACATCAATTTAAGCTTTTTCTTTTTTCTTGCCATTTTTTCCCATAAAAATGAATTGTATCCTGCCTCTTTCTCTAATTGTAGGGTTTGTTCTCCCTTGATATCCATGGTATGCTGGTACATCAACATTTTGAAGCGTAACTCCTCATTTTTAATGGCTGCATCCAAATATGTGTAATAATGTGAGTCCTGTTGTGGTGCTGTCGGATAAGCACTGGACTGCTAACCACAAGGTTGGCAGTTCAAACCCACCAGTTGCTCCTCGGGAACCCTAACAGGATCACTATGAGTCAGAACTGACTCTATAGTGCTTAACAACAACAACATATGTAGAGATCACGATGGCTCCATAGGATAAGCACTGGGCTGTGAACTATGAGGTTGGTGGTTTGAGCCCACCAGCCGCACTCTATAAGAGGAATACAACGCTTTCTGCTCCCATAGACTCAAAAAGCTTCAGAAACCCTATGCAGGATCACTATGAGTCAGGACCAACATGTGTATATATACATATATACACACATGAGGGAGCTTCAGACAGTTTGTAGAAAAATCAAATGAAAAGATAATGTAATTTTCCCAATCCTTTTGGAAGCCTTGTCATAGATTACATTTAGAATCTGGAAGCAAAATGAAACAATGCCAAGAAGGAGTTCTGGAATTGGAGGGAGTTTTTCAGCCCTCTCCACAGAGACTAGAAGGAGTCCCGATAGCTCCATGGGTTAAGCATTGGACTGCTAACCTCAAGGTCAACAGCCGCTGAGTTAACATAGGAGACTGTCTGCTCCCGTAAAGATTTACAACCTTAGGAACCCTAGAGGCAACAGTTCTGCTCTGTCCCATAGGGGCGCTGTGAGCTGGATTTGGGGTTTGTCCTCCGGAGACCAGCTGGGGTGGCATGGGTCAGCAACAACACTGGGAGTGGGGCTGTGTCCGTTTCTTGAGGCCAGAAAGAGACTAGGAATCCTGACCCCAAGAGGCAGCTGCCACAGGAGTAGAGGGAGGTGGGGTCCTGTCCTCCCACCCTACCCTCCCCCCCCCCCAAAGACCCAGCTGACCGCTTTGAGCAGTTTGGGCATTTCCAGTGAGGGGCCCAGCAGAATCCTGTGGGGCCCCCTGAGTGCTGGGAGGGCAGTGCAGAGTGTGAGGGGGTTGGAGAACAGGCCAGACAGATGCTGGCAAGGAGGAAAGTAGAGGACTCTATGTATGCTTGCCCAGTCCTTGTGGAGAAAGACCTTTAGCTGCCACTGGAGAAAATGGGCCTATTCTTCACAACTCTGAGAAGCCAGAAGTTCAGATACTGATGTGAAATCTCTTAATTTTTCAATCTAACCTTATTTTTTTTCTTTTTTAATGTGAGCAATTAGTCTATGGACTAGATATTATCTGCAAAGGTCCAGTTTGTAACTTATGCCTGAAAAGAAACTCGTAGGTCTTTTGACCCACCTTAACGTCTCCCTAGAATGTTTTGTGAACGATCTTGGCATTTATCTAGAATGTTCTATGGCCAACCTTGGCATTCTTCTAGAATGTTCTATGACCAACTTCAATGTTCCTCAGGAATTTTCTGTGACCAACCTTGGTATTCCTCTAGAATGTTCAGTGATCGACTTGGGTGTTCATCTAGAATGATCTGTGGCCAACGCTGATATTCTTCTAGGATGTTCTGTGACTGACTTGGGTGTTCATCTAGAATGATCTGTGGCCAACATTGATATTATCCTAGAATGTTCAGTGACCGACTTGGGTGTTCATCTAGAATGTTCTGTGGCCAACATTGATATTCCTCTAGAATGTTCAGTGACCGACTTGGGTGTTCATCTAGAATGTTCTGTGGCCAACATAGATACTCTTCTAGGATGTTTTGTGACCAACTTGAGTGTTCTCTACATTTGTGGAGGCAACAATAGAGTCCCCAGTTCTGACATCTGTGACTGATAATATCCTTTATTTCCTGGTTCTAGGCCCCCGGGTGCCCCGACTACAGCATCCTCTCCTTCATGGGCGCGTTCCATGGGAGGACCATGGGTAAGGAAGGACCAGCATGATCCCAGGGTGGGGGGTGAGAGTAATGTTAGCAACAACAACAGCGGCCTTTTATCTCACACTGGGCGTTTATGCATCTTACCGCCTCGATTCCACACAGCATCTCTGCCGAGTGGGAACGATCCCACTTTGCAGATGTGGAAGCAATGAGGGAATGTCCCAAGATCATCCGATAGCAGAACCAGGATTTGATTTGAACCCTTATCTTGTCCTCAAGCCTGTGCCTCATCATTGATAAATCAGAAATCACACGTGACCACACACACACACACACACACACACACACACACACATTAAGGGTTCCAGGTTTCACTTCAGCTTCGGGATATTGCTTTAACATCTGGGCGGGAGACTCTCGGGCACCAGGCCACCGGCATGTAGCAACTGAAATGCCCGTCTCCTTTTCTAAGACTGCTCACCCCATTCCCTAAGCCGAGCATCCGCCTTTCTGTTTTGTGGACTCAGGTTGCTTGGCGACCACTCACTCCAAAGCTATTCACAAGATTGACATCCCTTCCTTCGACTGGCCCATTGCACCATTCCCACGGCTGAAATACCCACTGGAAGACTTTGTGAAAGAGAACCAACAGGAAGAGGCCCGCTGCCTGGAAGAGGTAACATCGGGTCCCCCCAGTTCTCCCACACCCATAGCCCGGCTCACTAACCTCACCAGCCTAAGACTCAGCCCAGGAGACAAGAACCACACAGAATTTATCTGGGGAGCTGTGTCATCCCCTAAAGGGAAGTAGAGACCGAGAGGCCTCGTGTCACTCTGTCCCCCACTGGGATATACTCCTATGTTGCTGTTGTTGTTGTTAAGTGTCGTGGAGTCAATTCCAACCCATAGTGACCCTGTATAAGGTTTCCGAGGAGCAGCTGGTGAACTTGAACCACCGACCTTGTGGTTCAAGCTGACCTTGCAGTCCAGCACATTAACCCACAGAACCACACCAGGACTCCAATAGGGAGAGATATGGGTTAGCTATCATCTGTCACCCCACTTCTGGTACCAATTTCTGTCTCATTTAAGTGTCTTTTGGGGCAAGTTACAAGGGCTCCAAACTAAGAGAGTTTATTGAAAGAACACATCAATCCTCTTCTGAAGCCGAGGGGTACTTTGAAGGTTGCAGTGGGGGCAGGGGAGAGAGTGCATTGCAGCCCGAGCCCACCACTGCTGTCTGTGGACTCTGACTCAGTGACCCCATCGTCCTGTGTAGAACTGTCCGTAGGGTTTTCGAAGACTGTCAGTCGTCATGACAGCAGGCTCCCTCATTTCTATCCCAGGGAGCTGTTGGTAGGTTCAAACTGTCAACCTTTTAATTAGCAGACAAGCACTTAACACTGTGTCACCCAGACTCCCTGCAACCAGAGCAGCCCCCTTTAATGTGTCCCATATAAGACTCTGGGAGGATTCTGTCGCTGGGAGAAAAAAATGTCTTTAGATTTGGATCTGACCCGAAATAAGGCCACTGGTCTACTTCTTGGGCTCATCATTTTTATTCAATCAATATTTCTTGAGAACCTACTAGGAGTTGAGCAAAGTTCTAGGTGCTAGGTGCGTAGTAGTAAATAACGTTTGGAATCTTAGTGTGGTGCTGTGGGATAAAGTGTCGGTTTGAACCACAAGGTCAGCAGTTCAAGCTCACCAGCCACTCCTTGGAAACCCTATACAGGATTGCTATGGGTCGGAACCAACTCAATGGCACTCAACAACAACAGTAGAAATATCATGAGAACCACATACATAATTAGAGCTTTTCTGGAAATTACATTTTTCAAAAACAAAAGACCAGAAGACCTAGGTGGTGCCCAGCTACTGCTCCTAACTGCTCTAGAAGGTTACAAAGGAAATGAGTAAAATTAATTGTAATAATTTATGGAACTCGGTCTCTCCAGTAGTGTTATTTCAGCATCTCCTTTTATTTTTAAGTTAAAAATACTTCCTGACTTCTTGTTAAGTCTCTGGGGTCCTGTGTGTGTTCTACACTTTGGATACATGGGGTTTGGCGTACCCACCTTCTACATGCTCAGTCACAACCTGGGGCTCGGGACCACTGTATTGGAGAGTGCAGGGTGGGTGAGGTGGAGAGAAGGAATGGAGCAAACAAGAACATAGTCAAGTACTGTAATTTTTGCATATGACACACCCATGCACATAGCACATACAAGGATCTCACACTTGAGAGGGGTGCTCAGTTTGCAAAAACCACATACCGCACGTGTTATTTACATAAAAACATGGCAATGAAAAATGACAACCAATGATCCTAAAGTAAAGACGGCACGTGAGCCCTGGGAATGAGAGGCAGAGACCTGGCCAAACCATGTGACCCAGGCGCTCCATTCTTGAACTGTGTGTAACTATGATGGCACCGCGGTTAAACATGGGGCCACTAACAGAAAGGCTGGTGGTTGGAAGCCATCCTGCGGCTCCAAGGGAGAGAGAGCTGGTGATGGAATCTGCTCCCACAAGGATGCCAGGCTAGAATACCCAACTGCACACTTCTCCTCTGCCACTGAGGCTCCCACTTGGGAGCATCAAACCATCAGTAAACAAAGGATCACCATTTCTGAGCTTTGTCTTTGTAAGACGCCACCCACTGTAGAACAAGCGTTGAAGGAATACATAATAACAGAGAGATGAGAGGCTTCATTCAAGCAGCCACCGCAGCTCGGGATGTTTGTACCCCTGTACTACATTACCTTGTTCCATCCTCTCCACGGCCCCGTTAGGTAGACTCCGCCTGCCTCCCCAGATTACAAGTCAGGAAAGTGACACATCAGACAGCGAGTTATGAGATTGTATCCCCCACAGGGGCCAGCACCAATGCTAGGTAGGACAGGTACCCATCCGCACCTGTGGCTCCTAACGGAAAGTGCACACCAGCAGACTTCCAGTATATTTCAGGGGGTCCGTGGGGGCCGCTGACTCTGCATGCCAATGTCTCCTCTCCCCTGGCACTCAGGTAGAGGATCTGATTGTGAAATACCGGAAGAAGAAGAAGACGGTAGCAGGGATCATTGTGGAGCCCATCCAGTCCGAGGGCGGAGACAACCACGCCTCTGATGACTTCTTCTGGAAGCTGCGAGATATCGCCAGGAAAGTCAGTGGACTTGTGGGGTTGGATCAGGCTGGGGCCCTGGGCTAGCACACTTCTAATTCCCGGTCCTTGTCAACCTCCATCTATACAAAGGGTGTCTGTCTGTCAGTCTCCTGGTAGAGGGTGGAGTGGAGGTGGGCTCGGTGGGGTCTCCCTGAATTCTTATTGCAAAATCAGCCTCCACTCAATGAAGATATTTCTAGAAGGCCTCAGCTCCCACCTTCCCCTTCCTACTCGTCTTTTCCCCACATGTGCTTCGTACTCAGGGGATACACAATGAACAAACATGTGAATATCAGGTATCTATATTCATATGGTTTAACTGACCCGCCAAACCTGTGATGTCACCCACAAGTTGATTTAAAGCACAAATACTAATACTAGTCTGGCCGTAGCAGAACTGACAAACATCAGTCCTGGCCTCACCGTTGGCACACGTTTCCTTAGCATGAGAGGAAGCTGAGTGTGTATCTTGCATTGCTGCTATTCAGCAGAAATTGATGTCCTGGTTTGGGTCCAGCTCAGCAGTCTCAGGGAAACACTCCCGAGTGCTGGTTGGAACTTCCCTGCTTCAGTGTTTGGTTTCATTTTACTTTTATAACTGTAGAACACAGGGTGGGTTGTTCAGAAAGCAGTGAATATTTGGCTGGACTCGGGACTCGGGCCTGGCAGCTTGGTCCATGAGGTGGGTGTGGGTCTCCAGCCTCCATGGGGTGTTAATGTCTCCCTCATCTCTCTTCGGCCCACCCAGCATGGCTGTGCTTTCTTGGTGGATGAAGTTCAGACGGGAGGGGGCTGCACAGGGAAATTCTGGGCCCACGAGCACTGGGGCTTGGATGACCCAGCCGACGTCATGACCTTCAGCAAGAAGATGATGACTGGGGGCTTTTTTCACAAGGAGGAGTTCCGGCCAAATGCTGTGAGTCCGGGACCCTCCCTTCTCTCCTCACCCAGGGCAGAGGGAGGTGGATGAGCATCCCATTCAGACTGCGTGTTCTTTCTGAGAAGCAGGGAACTGAGCCACAGACGTCTCCTAAGACCCAGGTCTTGCCCCTTTATCAGCCAAGGTTATTCGAAGTCTCTCTGAAGGCCAGGAGATGCAGTGACCCACTGTGGTCTCCCCCATCATTTCACTGTATAGACGATAAAATTGTTCCTTCTGTGTATTTTCAGTCCTGACAACATTTGTAATAGAGTGGGTGCTATATTTTATCTACTACTTGACTAATGAGAAATCAAGTACAGCAAGTAAGTGATCCAAGATCATACCAACTGTAAATAACAAAGCCCGGATTTAAACACAGAACCCATAGTGTTAACCACGACACTGTACGTGTACAGACAGACTCTCATATACACACACACAAACACAATCTTCAAGGAGCCAGGATCTACCCTTCCACCATTCCTGAATGTAGCTTCCACCCTCAGAGTTGCCTCAGGGCCCAAGATAGCTACTGGAGCTCCAGCCCTCACATCTCAATTCTAGGCATTTAGGAAGGAAGAAAGGAGAGCTGGACAAAGGAAGAAGACTCCTTCTCTTTAGCAGCCTTCTCAGAAATCCCACGTAACACTTCCATTTACACAGCATCAGCTAGAAGCTGGTCCTATGAACACCTCTTAACTACAGGGAGGCCAAGAAACATCTTTTTTTTGTTTTGCTTTAATTTAAGATTTTTATTTTGGATTGAGTGAAAGTTTACAGGGCATATCATCAGTTTTACATTCAACAAATCATACAACTTGTTTCATTACAATGATTATAATCCCCTCCATGTACCATCAGTTAACAGTATTTCTCTCTATTCACTTTAGCTTTTTAAAAAACAAACAAACAAACAAAAAACACTCAGGCATATATTATAATTTACATCTCCAAAGGGCACATTCTGTAAGTCTGCCTCCTGGCCACCAGCTCTTAGTCCTCCTATGGGGCTGGCAGGGGCCGCAAGAGAGAATCAATGAGGTACAGTGTGTTGCCCACCTAGCCCTCAGTCAGAGCTTCACTCCTGCTGGAGACAGCATGAGGTGGGCCCTTCCGGGTGTGGCTGTGTACAAACCCTTCCTGAAACCCTATAACTCATTCCAGCCTTACCGGATCTTTAACACCTGGCTGGGGGACCCGTCCAAGAACCTACTGCTGGCCGAGGTCATCAACATCATCAAACGGGAAGATCTCTTGAATAATGCAACCCACGCAGGGAAGATCCTGCTCACAGGGCTGCTGGATCTCCAGGTAGCAGCCCCAGCCACCACCCACCCACCCCCACCACTCCTCCAGCCGTCCTTGTTTACCCTTCTCTGCGTCCACGCCCCCAAGGCGAGCACTTGCTGCTCCAGCCATTCTGAGTGGTTCTCCTGCTTTTGACCTCCCAACCTTTCCATCCCTTAATTCCAGACTCCTGGTGTGGTGCTGTAGGATAAGCACTGAACTGTTGACCACAGGGTCTGTGGTGCAAACCCAGCAGCCATGCATTGGAAATCCTAGAGGGCGTAAAGAGTTGGAACCAACTTAACCGCAACATCCCAGTTCCAGCCCCCAGCCCCTATCTCTTTATCTGTGAAAACCAACTTCAAACACCCCTCCTTTGACAAGCCTCCCTAAACACCATTCGTCCCTTGGCCCTTGATGATATGTTCGCTGGTCCCACATCTACCACCTTGTCTTCTCGTTCTATAGCCTGCAAGCCGCATAGACTGTATTTTTATTGTTGTTTGGGTAAAAGTTTACAGAGCACATGAGTGTCCCATTCAACAGTTTCTCACATTTTGTTTTGGTGACATTCGTTACAGTCCCCCTACTCGTCCCGCTTTCTTCTTGGGTCCCCATTTCTATTTGTCCTCTCTCTTTTCTGAGCTCTCTTTTTAGGCAAATGCCCTATGTTGTTGTTGTTGTTGGGTGTCATTGAGTCGGTACCAATCCATAGCAACCTTATGCACAGCAGAATGAAATACTGCCTGATCCTGGGCCAACCTCACCACTGTTGCCATGCTTGAGTCCATCGATGCGGCCACTTGGTCAATCCATCTCATTGGGGGTCTTCCTCTTTTTCTCTGACCCTCCACCTTACCTTACATGATATCCTTTTCCATTGACTGGTCCCTCCTGACAATATGTCCGAAGTATGAGTGACAAAGTTTGACCATCTTGGCCTCCAAGAAGCACTCTGGCTGCACCTCTTCCAAAACGGATCTGTTGGTTCTTTTGGCAGCCCATGGCACTTTCAATATTCTCCAACACCATAACTCAAAGGCATCGATTCTTGCCCTATGGGTCAGTCTTAAATTTCCTACTGGCCATCTTAAAAGGGAAGTCCTAGTGTGGTGCTGTAGGATAAGCACTAGACCACATGGTCAATTTGAACCGCAAGGTCGGCAGTTCAAACCACCAGCCATTCCTCAGAAACCCTACACAGGGTTGCCACAGGCTGAACCCAAGTCGATGGCACTTAACAAAAAGTTAACGTCTTAAAAGTAAAAAAAAAAAAAAAAGATGGAGGTGAAATTAATTTTAAAAGTTTACTTACCCCGCGATAGCCAAGATAATGGAGTCCTTGGGTAACTCTATAGGATAGTCACTGGACCGCAGGGTTGCCCTGAGTTGGAACTGACTCAACTGCACTTCAACAACAACAGCTAAGATACTGTCACTTCAGCATATGTCAGTCATGCAAAAATCATGTTGTTAGGATGGTTAGCTTCAATTTTCAACTCTCGGCAACTCCATGGGACAGAGTAGAACTGTCCCCTGGGGTTTTCTAGGCTGTCATATTTATAGATGTAGATCACCAGGTCTTTCTTCATCCTGCAGAACTGCTGGGTAGGTTTAAACTGCCAACCTTTTGGTGAGCAATCGAGCTCCCTTTTCTTGCGCGAAATCTTCTAAATCCAACGTGTGTGAACGAGTAAAAAATTATCCGCACTCTGTTATATTAAAACACCACAGCTGGTGACAACATTAAGCGTGCACATGAAATGATTCTGTCGAACAGACAAGTGTTAGTGGATTCTGTGGCAAATCATTTGCCAACCAGCCATGGCTCTGCCTGTGAAATACTCCACGACAGACTCGGGTTTCGAAAAGTTTGTGCAAGATGGGTACAGAAAAAACTCACGGAAGAGCTTAAAAAGAAACGTTTGGACATCTGCAAACAAAATTTAGACAAGATACTTGAAGGAAAGTAAAAGTTTCTTTAAAAAATCGTTGCTGGTGACAAGACACAGTTTCATCACTATGAGCCTGAGCGTAAATGGCAGGGTGTAGAATGGAAACATCTTCAATCACTGACCAAGAAAAAGCTCCAAAGTCAACATTCAGCTGGAAAACTGGAACACTATGAAGAAACAGTTCAACAATCAACATTGCTCATTACTCACTGAACAGCTGAGGCCTAAACTTTGGATTCAATGCAGAGGACTACTATCCAAAGACATTGTGATCTTGCATGGCAATGCACGTCCACACACCTCTGCCCACACTGTTGACACTCTGCATACACTTCATTGTGAGGTGTTAAAGCATTCTTCCAAAAGTCCTGACCTTGCTCCATCGGAAAGCAGCCCTGTGAGGATGAAGATTCGCCTCTGATGAAGAAGTGAAGACAGCAGTGCATTTGTGGCTCACAGCTCACTAAAACATTTGTTAATAAGGGAATGCGAAAGCTTGTTGACAGATGGACAAACTGTATTGGAAAGTAAGAAGATTACATTGAAAATTATGCATTTGTCTTTTCTAAAGTTGATTAAAGTAAATTCTGCAGCCAGTGTGTGGATAATCTTGGGCTCACCCTCATCTGTTACTCTTAAGCACATCTCAATCTGGACTGACTGACCAGTCTTCAACAGCCGTGTGTGGCCCACGGCTGCCTCCCCGAACAGCTCAACTCTATCTTATTACTATTTGTCTTTGCCTTGCCCAACACTCGGAGCCCTGGGGGGCATAGTGTGTGAAGATTGGGCTGCTGAGCACAAGGTCAGCAGTGTAAACCCATCCTGGCCACTCTTCCAGAAAAAGATGAAGCTGCCTAGGGAACCCTAAAGAGCAGTTCTAGTTCTCCTCGGTCCTACAGGGTCGTTGTGAGTAGGAACCGACTCGATGACAGTAGGTTGGGTTTGGGGTTTTTGGCTTTAGCCCAACACTCCCCCGCCACACACACAGATGTTATTCCTTAAGTGTGGGGTGAGGACTTTTGGGAGGACAAAGGAAACCATTAGAGGAACTCCCCCATGATGCCTGGCTAGAGCCCAGACAGCAGCTTTGCTCATCCCCTCTCCCCACTATAGGCCCGGTACCCCCAGTTCATCAGCCGCGTGAGAGGGCGAGGTACCTTCTGCTCCTTTGACACTCCCGATGAATCCGTACGGAATAAACTCATTGTAATAGCCAGAAACAAAGGTAAGGGACTGGGAGGGAATGAAATAGAAGGGAGACAGTGGGCTGAAGGAGGATGGAGATTGGCGGGGGTGATGCTGGGCAGGAGGTCTTGTGAGGCTCACCTCCCATTGCCCGTGGCCTAGCTTCTCCTGAGAGCTGTGGGAGCCACTGTGGTCTGAAACGGGGAGTAACATGGTCAGCAGAGACCAGTGCCCAGGCTAGTAGCTAATCTTCTCCCTATGTTTCCTGGAACCCCAGCAGTGGTCCTGAAGGCAGGGAGGAGGTACCCATTTTTTAAATGAGAAAACTGTGCCAAATAACCACTGAGTGTGGCACTGTAGGAGAAGCATTGGAAGCTAACCAGGAGGTCAGTGGTTCAAAGCCACCAGCCGCTCCTTGGAAACCCTGTACAGCAGGGTTTCTGCCAAAACTTATAACGTCATTCTCAGGACACACAAAATTATCAACTTAAAAATGATCCTACTGCATTTGGTCAAAGATTTCATTAACTCATCCCTAGGCACTACCGGATAATGAGCTGGACTTCACAGTCACTTTGAACCATGAGGTTGGCAGTTCAAACTCAGCCAGCCACTCCTCAGAAACCCTGTGCCGGCTCGCTGACTCCACGGCACTTAACAGTAACAATAACTTGTTGGTTGGAACTGTGGTTGCCTTGGCAGGGCCAGACCAAAGGATTTCACAAGCCTTGTATGGCCCACGGGCCGGACACTCCCTATCCCTGCTTTTCAGGGTCGCTATGAGTCAGAACCGACTCAACAGCACTGCACAACAACCGCTAAGATAATTCCTGGTGTGGCATTGTAGGATAACCTCTAGACCGGTAACCAGAAGGTTGGCACTTCAAAGCCACCAGCCACACCTTGGGAGCCCTATACAGTGTCACTGTGCTTCAGAATCAACTCAATGGTACTTAGCAACTAAGATTGAGCCCTGGTGTGGTGCTGTAGGGTACACACTAAACTGTTAACCACCTGGCACTTAATAACAATGACTAAGACAAGGCACCTCAGTTGTGCTGCCCTTAAGCGGTGGCTCTGACCCTTATCCAAACTTACGAGATTTTTTTGTTTATAAATTTTGCTTCCATACCACATCAAGAGTTTCTGGAAGGCAAGAACTCATCTCAGGATTCCTCTGTCAGCAGATCTAGTTCAGGGGCAGTAGAATGGACTTCAAGGAATGTAGGGAGGTGGGAAAGTTGATAGGCAGGTAGGAAGATAGACAAGTAACGAGGGAGGTAGAGAGGTGTGTAGGTAGGGAAGTAGACAAGTAACTAGGGAGGTGGATAGGTGTGTAGATAGGTAAGTAGGTAGGAAGGTAGACAGATAACTAGGGAGGTAAAGAGGTGTCTAGATAACTAAGTAGGTAGGTAGGTGGGTAGGACGGAGGAGGGAGGGAGGGGAGGAAGGAAAAAGGGATGAGGGGATAAAGGATGAGGTGAATGACAGGCTGGGAGGACAGATGGGTGGATGGGAAAGGACCCACAGAAGGCTATATGGATGGAGGGTAGGACCCCATGAACGCACACCCCTAGCTCCTAAGCCACCTCCTACTTTATCTTCCAGGTGTGGTGTTGGGGGGCTGTGGCGACAAGTCCATCCGTTTCCGGCCCACCATGGTCTTCAGGGATCACCATGCGCACCTGTTCCTCAACATTTTCAGTGACATCTTAGCCAACTTCAAGTAAAGAAGCCATTCTCATCCCCTCTGGGAAAGCCTCAATCTCAACACTTGTCCAATTGATTAGTTTGCCTAATTCATGTTTTCACTAAAAGGATCAGAGGTGAACGCATAGACCGGAAGGGTTGTTCGTGGGGAGGGGAGGAGGTGAAGGGAAGGGTGGGTCTGGCTTTAGCCCTCCTCCCTGCAGAGCCAATGGTGCACGTTGGTTCAGTCTGGAAATTCTGCTTGAGCCCTGGACAGTGTCTTCCAGGAGGGCTCTGGGGGCCCTGTCCATATTTCTGCCCACCTTTGATCAACAATTCCTTTGGAAGCCTCTGGGACTGGTGGCCGGGACTGTTAGGTTTGGGTCTGTATCAAGTGCCACATTCTGGGATGGAGGCTGCTGGCTTCCCCTATGCAAACAATCATGTTCTCATTGTCGCCCCTGCTCCTGGAGCTCTGAGTACAACCCACCTACTATTGAGAAAGAACAGGACAGACCGTGTGGCAGTCATAAAACAGGGACATTGGGACTCAGCCTGAGGGTGCCGGGAGGGCCCCCATCTTGGTGCATCTGAGGATTGACATGGTTGTGCCCTTGGGGGATTGCTGAAGGCATTTTTGGGGGGTTCTTACATACCACCCTGCAGCCCCAAGTTCTTCCCTGCTCAGTGTCGGCCTAGACTCTGGAGGGAAAATTGCAGTCAGCATTATGGGATACATGTGGCCCAAAGGGAATGTGAGTCAGAGCCCGGGGAGTCGCCACCCCACCTGGGCTCCAAGAATCTTCAGGGGCTGGGTTTTGACGCCTCACCCCAGGAAGCTCTCTCCAGCTGTTACGTACCCACCTTGGCTCCACTTCTGGGAAGCCCTGTGCATATCGGCCCTGTTCCCGCTGAGGAGATGCTTGCTGGGTGAGGTTGTTTGTTGAGCTTCAGGAATGCAAGGCACTAGGGCCCCATGCAGGGACTGAACTTGCCAGATGCAATTAGAGCTTTTCCCGAGATGAGTCCAGAAATGACAGGCAGGTGAGACTTACATGCTGGACAGGCTTGTCAATTCTGCTGGGAACCAGACATCCTTGGAACTGATCTGATGGCCAAAGCTCCAAAGCAATGAAACTTGAGTTAGTGGGGAGACTAAGATTAGCCTGTCTTTTACTCTCTGTCCAAAAGGAAGCCCTTCAATCCTGGCACCTTGGTTGACCACCAAGGAAGATGGGCACATGCAAGCTCCTGCCTCAACACTTGGCTCCTGTAATAATGAGTCGTCCAAAGATCTCCAAGTATTTTTTTGTTAGCTTCCACCCTCCAGCAGATGTGGTCACTGGCCTCACTCTGTTAAGGAACAGAACCCAAGGCACTCACGTGACTAACTGACTTGGACAGATGGGTGAATCCCAGTTCACGTAGCACGCCTGCAGTCAGTCAGTGCAAACCCCTTGTTTGTAATGAGGAGCTTGACCATGTTCAAGGCCAGCCATCTGCATGAAGCTGTCTGCCTCCTCTCTCTGCACATTTGTGCACATTTTTACACATTTGTACATTACTTTTTTCATTCCGTCACTCACTCATCCAACCCTCGTGCATCGCCCACTCCAGCCCAGGCTGTGTGCTAAGCACCTGGGGTTCAAAGATGACAGTCAGTCTAGCCCCTGCTACATATAGGATTGCTGTTGATTTAGGTTTTGTATGTACATCAAAGGATTCATAGATGACAGGGTCTTAATCAAATCTGTAAGTAAAGCTGAGTGGCAAGTGGTGAAACAGAGACATATGAAGGTGCATGAGGAAATCAAAGGAGGCTTCCGGGAGGAAGTGGCTTTTGAGCAGGGTCTTGCAGGGTGAGCAGGAGTTCAGAGAACAGGCAAGGAAGAGTGTTGCGGAAAGGGAACAGCAGCAGCATATGAAACGCACATCCGATCGTGGTCTCACGTCGCTCACTAGGGAGCCAGATTCCACAGTCAATATCTCGGGTCCAAGGCCTTATTTAACACATAAAATGCTCTAGGAGTTCTTTCTCCTGAGAAACTTAGCCCTGGGTGCAATCTTTCAGTAAGGTTCTTGGGAGTCCCCCAAAAGGGTCTTCAAGCCCAGGAACTTCGTAAGTAGAGAGATGGGGCTCTCCTATTTTGTCCTCTTTTCATTGGGCATCAGTTGAGGTATGCCAATCATTTTATCTGACGAGCCATTTCCAGATTTACTGTTCACTCCTTCCCAAGAAAAGTTCCTTCTCTTGGAAAACCATAAGCCATTTACCAAGCCTCTTGTTGGATCAGGCCCTAACAAGTTCCTGAGACATCCTCTTTGGGGGATGGGGTGTAGTGGGAGAAATGGAAGGGAACAAATTCTCTGCAGAACTCGAGGTGTAGAAACCTGGAAGAGGTGGAGGTGGATGAGAAGGCGGGGAGCCAAGAGGACAGGCTGCCACCTTGGGCAGAGCCCGTAAGTAAATGCCTCTGTGACCCCACGGTCTGGAAACGAACTCATCACGCATTATTGGTGTCATCGGTTTCCGTACGTATCTCTAGCACGTCTTGTCACTTTTACAGAAAATAAGTCCAGTGATAGCAAGTCTTAGCATATACCCTCATTTTATTATAAATGGGTGGTTTTTTTATAATTTTTACTGACACTCAGTAACCATGCAAAATTGTGCACAGCATTAATATATATCTATTATGTCGATACCTAACTATATATGTATGCATATATATATATGTAAGTATATATACATATATATATATATCAGCTCATGGCAGAAGGCCACAGCTTGAGAGCATCACCAACTTACCCATACCATGTGATCTTGTTTACAGTATTCTGTCCGTGCCAATAAATGAGGAAGAAATGAACAACTTGTCACACTGTAACTGATGACCATATGCACAACTCCATGAATTAAACCCATTTCCTGTGTTAATCAGTATTCTTAAATTAAACAAAAAAGAAAGAAAGAAAGAAGGTTTATAACGGAAACATCAGAGTGGATGTGGCCTTTTTGGGGGTTGGAAAGTGGATTAGTGACATTATTTATTTGACAAGTATTCATTGAGCACCTAGGGACTGGAACAGTGGGCTCAAACATTAGCAGCAATGATGAGGATGACACAGGACCGGTGTGCATTTCATTCTATTGTACTGGGGATTGTTGAGTCAGACGAACCCAACGGCTCCTCACAACATACGTCTCTTGGAATCCCTGGGTGGAGCGAATGGTGAACAGGCTCAGCTGCTCCTTGAAAGGTTGGAGGTTTGAGTTCACCCAGAGGTGTGTAGGAAGAAAGGTCTGGCAATCTACTCCCTCAAAAATCAACCACTGAAAACCCTAGGGAGCAGAGTTCTAGGTTGACACACATGGCGGTGCCATGAGTCCGCACAGCTTCAGTGGCAACCCTTTTATTTTCTTGTTATGGAACGAATGGTACCATCACTGTACCCCCTCCTATAGCCACATGGGCCTCACGTACAGTTCTAGACAATACTGTGTTCCAGAGTTCAGTTCCTGTTTGTAAATCTTAAATCTCCTTCCCCACACAAGTTCAAGCCCAAATGAGTCCTGTAATCTGTCTCAATGTTAACATATGAATCCATAAGGACAAAGGTTTGGTCACCAGAGTCAATATAGACTTGGCCTGATGGTATCGGCCTTGCCTGATTAACTAATCGGGTAAGATGTTATAGTTGAATACCCCTGTATCAAAACAAGGCCATAAAAGTTGGACTCTGCCTGGGGTCCAAAGGCCCCTCTCCCCACACCCACACCCCCACCCCCACCCCTGCCCCTGTTCCTTCCACTCAGGGACTCACAGGTTCTGAAGTCAGGAAATAAGTCTTCTGTGACATTCACCCTGGGCTGTCGTCTGATGTTTGTTCTGGGCAGCGTGTTGGGGGTTATCTGGCTCACTTTTGGTAACAGGTACCACTGGGGGCCTATGCCACTCAGGGATTGAGTCCCTACCCTTGGCTGTGTAACACACAGACACCGTCTGTAGTGTGTTTTCTCATGTAGTGGTTGTCTAAATTGTGCCAGTGTCTGCTAGCTGGGTGTACAGTGTGGCAGGATATGTCCCAGGCAGATAATTTCAAACCCTAAGTGCCTTGGAATTGGCAGAGAGCCTGGATTACGAGTTGGACTGCTAACTGCCAAGGTCAGCAGTTCGAATTTACCAGTCACTCCATGGGAGAAAGATGAGGCTTTCTGCTCCCATAAAGATTTATATACAGGGTTACTACAAGTCAGAACCGACTCAGTGACACACAACTGACATCATAAAAAGACAGATGCCATGGTCCTGTCTACAGAAGTTGGCAAGGCATCACCAGCTGCTTTAGCTGTTGTTAACTTAAGGTTTTATTTGAGCAACCCCAGGCCCAGCCCTGGAGGTGCCCTGCAGAAGCCCTACACTGTGTCTAGTTTGCATGTGGACATTTTATAGCTCCAGACCAGAGGCATCTTAACGCATTTGTTCCATGTGCCCTCTGCTGGTACCAGGAGCAGACCACACATTGATGTGGGGGCTCCTGTCTGCCAACACCCAGGACAGTCAGCACTCTCCTCCAAAGTGGTGGTGTTTTAGGGCACGTATGTCACACACGCACACGCATGCACATCGGCACTGCCTGGTTACCACATTACCACAGCGATTCCTGGGCCTGAGCATTGTATAAAAAGTGCTCCAAGTGAGTCTTCTGTACAGGCAAGCAGGCCTTAGATTTTTTTTTTTTTTTTTTGGGTTACTGTGGTAGAATTTAATAGAACAGTTTGCGGTGATGAAAAGCTAGTGGTGACATTAGTGTAATATGGTGGGTGTCACTCCCCTCACTGGATTGTACTCAAAAAAGGGTTCAAATGGCCCAGTTCCTGTGACATATACCTTACCAACCTAAAAATTACAACTCTATATATGAGAGGGCAGCGGAAAGAGAATAGAATTTTGCTGTGAACTCTCTCAAGCCCCGTCATATACTTTTTTTTTTTTTTTTTTTAAGGTTTTTATTGTGGATTGAGTGAAAGATTGCAGGGCATATCATCAGTTTTACATTCAACAAATCATATACCTTCTTTCATTACAATGATTATAATCCCCTCCATGTACCATCAGTTAACAGTATTTTTCTGTATAT